GCATGTAATTGACTCTCAAATACCTGTACTGTGTATAGTGTGATGTGTGTATTGTGTGTATAGTGTGATGTGTGTATTGTGTGCATAGTGTGATGTGTGCATTGTGTGATGTGTGCATTGTGTGTATAGTGTGATGTGTGTATTGTGTGTATAGTGTGCAGTAGTTACCCCTTGTGTGGTGTGTCTGATGTACTTTAATAAAGCCTTATACCATCGATGCTACGATTATAGTGCAGTAGTTACCAGATCGTCGTAATAAAGTTGGGGGTTCGCTGCGTTAAACAACAAATAAATAACAACCTTGTCTCTGAAGTACTTTAATAAAGCCTTATACCATCGATGCTACGATTACAGTGCAGTAGTTACCCCCTCTCTGAAGTACTTTAATAAAGCCTTATACCATCGATGCTACGATTACAGTGCAGTAGTTACCCCTTGTCTCTGATGTACTTTAATAAAGCCTTATACCATCGATGCTACGATTACAGTGCAGTAGTTACCCCTTGTCTCTGATGTACTTTAATAAAGCCTTATACCATCGATGCTACGATTACAGTGCAGTAGTTACCGCTTGTCTCTGATGTACTTTAATAAAGCCTTATACCATCGATGCTACGATTACAGTGCAGTAGTTACCCCTTGTCTCTGATGTACTTTAATAAAGCCTTATACCATCGATGCTACGATTACAGTGCAGTAGTTACCCCTTGTCTCTGATGTACTTTAATAAAGCCTTATACCATCGATGCTACGATTACAGTGCAGTAGTTACCCTTGTCTCTGAAGTACTTTAATAAAGCCTTATACCATCGATGCTACGATTACAGTGCAGTAGTTACCCCTTGTCTCTGAAGTACTTTAATAAAGCCTTATACCATCGATGCTACGATTACGTAGTTACCCTTGTCTCTGAAGTACTTTAATAAAGCCTTATACCATCGATGCTACGATTACAGTGCAGTAGTAGTTACCCCTTGTCTCTGAAAGTACTTTAATGCTAAGCCTTATACCATCGATGCTACGATTACAGTGCAGTAGTTACCCCTTGTCTCTGAAGTACTTTAATAAAGCCTTATACCATCGATGCTACGATTACAGTGCAGTAGTTACCCCTTGTCTCTGAAGTACTTTAATAAAGCCTTATACCATCGATGCTACGATTATAGTGCAGTACGATTACAGTGCAGTAGTTACCCCTTGCTCTCTGAAGTACTTTAATAAAGCCTTATACCATCGATGCTACGATTACAGTGCAGTAGTTACCCTCTGAAGTACTTTAATAAAGCCTTATACCATCGATGCTACGATTACAGTAAAGTTACCGCTTGTCTTATACCATCGATGCTACGATTACAGTGCAGTAGTTACCCTTGTCTCTGAAGTACTTTAATAAAGCCTTATACCATCGATGCTACGATTACAGTGCAGTAGTTACCCCTTCTGTCTCTGAAGTACTTTAATAAAGCCTTATACCATCGATGCTACGAAGCCTTACCATCGATGCACGATTACAGTGCAGTAGTTACCCTTGTCTCTGAAGTACTTTAATAAAGCCTTATACCATCGATGCTACGATTACAGTGCAGTAGTTACCCCTTGTCTCTGAAGTACTTTAATAAAGCCTTATACCATCGATGCTACGATTACAGTGCAGTAGTTACCCCTTGTCTCTGATGTACTTTAATAAAGCCTTATACCATCGATGCTACGATTACAGTGCAGTAGTTACCCCTTGTCTCTGAAGTACTTTAATAAAGCCTTATACCATCGATGCTACGATTACAGTGCAGTAGTTACCCCTTGTCTCTGATGTACTTTAATAAAGCCTTATACCATCGATGCTACGATTACAGTGCAGTAGTTACCGCTTGTCTCTGATGTACTTTAATAAAGCCTTATACCATCGATGCTACGATTACGGTTGCACTTTTACGTCCACAAACATCCATACTGTTTCTGGTTGTCATGGCGACTGATCTATTAATCTACTCTCTCTATATTTTCATCATTGTCTGCAGGGTCACGTGACGTCCTGGGAAGACGTGGATGTGACACAGACTACACCCACAACATTGACAAACACGCCAGGTCCTGTGTCAACACTTTGTATTGAGAGAAACCGTCCTTACAGACAACTCGTATTTACTTGGTTTCTGGGGAGTAGGGGTAGGGGAAGGGGTGGTCGGGGCCGGAGAGGGGCGTCAGCGTGGTCTAGTGGCCCCTAGGGCTGAATATACCAATATTTGTATAATATCTCACAAATAGTATGCCCGAAGGACCCTGATATCAGACACAATGAGGTCAGCAAAGGTTCTCTCTCGGACACATTGAGCTGAGTGGAGGTCCATGGAAAAACACAGATGGTACCTAAGTTCCAGTTACTCAGAGATGTGAGCAGAGGTTGCTGTTCAGACAGAGAGAGGTGAGCAGATGTTTTAGTTCAGACAGGGCCGGAGAGGTGACCAGAGCAGAGGTTGCTGTTCAGACAGAGATAGATGAGCAGATGTTCAAGTTCAGACTGCAAGAGATGGGCAGAGGTTGAAGTATGTGTATCTTGGGCTGTATTCAAGGAGAAATTGATTCGTATGAAAGAAGGTTGTGTGTACTTTTAGCTCCTTGATCAAAGAGTGATTTAGCGACCAGCATTAAAAGGCCCCATTATAAGTAGCATCAAGTACCTTCATCTCTAATGACACAGTACCACTACATCACTACATCAAGACTGAGTTCATTTCAGCTCTTTTAAAAACATATTTTTATCGACTGCAACTTTGCATTGTTGTGATAAGAATCAAACACTCTCATCTCAGACTCCGGGATCGTTACTAATACAATATACATGTACATGCATTTATCGTCATGGAAGCAAATGAGAGGCAAGGGAGTTTTAAGTGCTTAAACCCCAGGGGACTCGTCAGTATAAATACTTAATTCTCAACGCAGGTGGTCACAGCCGATAAATGAGGATTGGATGGCTGTTGTACCCCGGCGGCGGGGAACGTTGTGCATTTTGTCAACCACTGGATTTCCTGGCAAATAGTCAACAACATTCGTCCACTCACTGTCCTTTCCACTCATAGTGCCACCCATCCAGAATCCGTCATCACTTCCTTGTATTCCCGATGTTACAGCACCTCTAACCTCATAGTGACCCCAGCCTGTCATCACTTCCTTGTATTCCCGACATTACAGCACCTCTACCCTCACAGTGACCCCAGCCTGTCATCACTTCCTTGTATTCCCGACACCACAGCACTTCTAACCTCATAGTGACCCTAGCCCGTCATCACTTCCTTATATTCCCGACATCACAGCACCTCTACCCTCACAGTGACCCCAGCCCGTCATCACTTCCTTATATTCCCGACATCACAGCACCTCTAACCTCATAGTGACCCCAGCCTGTCATCACTTCCTTATATTCCCGACCTCACGGCACCTCTAACCTCACAGTGACCCCAGCCCGTCATCACTTCCTTGTATTCCCGACATCACAGCACCTCTAACCTCACAGTGACCCCAGCCCGTCATCACTTCCTTATATTCCCGACATTTCAGCACCTCTAACCTCACAGTGACCCCAGCCTGTCATCACTTCCTTATATTCCCGACATTTCAGCACCTCTAACCTCACAGTGACCCCAGCCCGTCATCACTTCCTTGTATTCCCGACATCACAGCACCTCTAACCTCACAGTGACCCCAGCCCGTCATCACTTCCTTATATTCCCGACACCACAGCACTTCTAACCTCACAGTGACCCTAGCCCGTCATCACTTCCTTGTATTGCCGACATCACAGCACCTCTAACCTCACAGTGACCCTATCCCGTCATCACTTCCTTGTATTCCCGACACCACAGCACCTCTAACCTCATAGTGACCCTAGCCCGTCATCACTTCCTTGTATTCCCGACACCACAGCAACTCCAACCTCATAGTGACCCTAGCCCGTCATCACTTCCTTGTATTCCCGACATCACGGCACCTCTAACCTCACAGTGACCCCAGCCCAGTTTGACGAGAGAGCAAACCCAGCTCCGATACGATGTGTTCTTGTGCAGTCAGTATTACAGTACTTCCAGATGACCGAGTAATACTTGGCCGTAAGCACTGTAATGTAATCGGTTCAACGCCCGCACCGGGACGGTCAACAACCAGCCCGGATGACGTGGCACCAACGTTAAACCAGCACTATTTGTTGACAGATTCCAATACATAAACAACGATATGTGTGGTATCCGCGCTTAAGTCGCTGCAAGAGGTGTTTGCTTAGTAGTACAACCAATAACAAGATCTGGTTGTAACACGAGATTTTATTTCGATACAGGGATCAGAGACCGGATATTTGGAACCATGACATCATGGACGTGTTCAGACTGGTATGTATCTGACAAGGAGCACCTAGCTGAGTGAGTGAGTGAGTGTGAGTGGGTGAGTGAGTGAGAGAGTGAGTGAGTGAGTGAGTGAGAACAGTTTAATGTTCCCGTAATATAACACCACCTTCTCCTATGTGGGGGGCGGTGGGGTAGCCCAGTGGTTAAAGCATTCGCGTTTCACGCCGATTCTTCACATGGATACAAAGTGTGAAGCCGATTTCTGGTGTCCCCCACCGTGATATTGCTGGAATATTGGTAAAAGCGGCGTTAAACCAAACTCACTCACTCTCTCATGCGGTGAACTGAACATGGACGCCATACTCACTCACTCACTCACTCATTCACTCTCTCATGCGGTGAACTGAACATGGACGCCCTCGTCTGGTGTCTTGGATGATCTGTCTAACGAGCACGCTTGAATATCCGCGGAATAGATCGATACAGGCGTGGCCGATGGCCGGGAGATGCACACTGCGGCAAAATGAGCAGCACTATTAAAATGACAAGTCTATATTGCGTTTGAATTTTAATTCATATACCTTCAATATTTTAACAATAGGAGCATGTACCCAGGTGACAGGTGTATCCAGGTGTAGGTCCTCGGGGACAGACGGGGCTCACCTGTTGGAGTATCATATGTTTTCACGGCCAGAACACAGGTTTCCCCACGATGTCCTCATTTACAATACATTCCGGACGTGAATAAATAATGCTGAAAACTGATCGGATTGCTGTACACCGGAGAATTGTGGGAAAACATACACGTGGCACATTGGAAATCCATCGTGGGTTTATTTATAAATTGACCTAACTTCGAGTAGTTCTCCAAATGATGGCTCACTTTGTAGTAAGCATATAGAACCCAACTGGAAGAGGGGATGGGGTATGGGGTAAGGAGGGATGATTTGGGAAAGGGGGCGGTTTGTGTTTTTATGTTTTTGTGGGTGGGGTAGCATGGAGTTGAGCTACGGGGAGTTGGGAGAGAGTAACTGGGGAGTCAGTGTTTGGATCGGGGTGGGAGAGAGTAACTGGGGAGTCAGTGTTTGGATGGGGGTGGGAGAGAGTAACTGGGGAGTCAGTGTTTGGATGGGGGTGGGAGGAAAAAGGGGGATGAGCTGGAGGCATAGATTTGGAATCGTCGATGGAAGTGGAAATGGAGTGAATGTTACGAATACTATATATGATACATGTACATGTTCTGTACAAGGTTCTTTCTCAGATCGTGTTGAGAATGTAATATATGACTATATATGAGCAAGTATATATGACTTTCAGGAAATGCCTGTCCATTTTGTTGTAAGATTTATGCAAATCTTTATATAAAGACACCCCATAACACAAGGCGTTTTTAACACACCGCCTCTTTAATGGTAGCATGATCCCAAGGGAGCTGAGAATGGTGTGCTTTGACTAAGGTGTGGGTCTTGTGCATTATCAATTGTAATATTAGAGGAATAACTTAGATATATCCAGTACACACCACCCTAGCACAACCCACTACCGCCCAGTCAATCACACCCACCTCACACCTGCCACGCCTCTCAATCAACTAGCCTCTGTTCTCCGGGTGCACCCGCGGTATTTGACGCGCAAACATTAACATTTTACCGTTTTGTCTCATGGAATTAAAACGTATCTTGCCTGAAGTATTTACTTTCCTCTTCTTCTGCTTTTAGTACAGGATTCTGTTTTCCTCATCGATAGCCTGCCGCTGCGGGCGGACTGGCCGTTATTTCTAGCTCATTGATCCAGGTTACATAACACTTGGGTTCTCTTCAGATATTGTACAACCATTTTACAGCATAAGGTCGTGTATTGACTCAGCGTATCTCTTGTTTGTCATTGCTCCACGGTTTAATATGAAGTGGAACCATTTGCATCTGGTAATGCCATATAGATCCCCCTTGCATTGTGACGTCATGCCACGTTGTTGCCAGGCAGGTTATAATGCTGATTTCGTGTCTAGACCAATTTGGACTTGCTAATGAAAACCGACCATATAAATACCATCGTATCTAATGTCATTAAAAAAATATGCCTCTCATGTGAAAACTGACGTTTTTCCCCGTTTTAACATTTTTCTCTTGCGGAGAAAACTAACTTATACTTGTCAGGCTCAAGGGAAAGACAACCCTAATGTCAAAATCCTGACATTATTGGCTTCCAGGTTACCGGATAAAACCAAGTTGATCTTGTCCCCCCTCGAAATATTCGGCATAGTTTGATTGCACTCTAGACCCGGGAAGATCCGGGTGAAAACCCGTTCTAGGCGACTAACGTGATCGGCTGGTCAGACGCGCTGACTTGGTTGACACATGGCTTCGTATCCCAACTGCGTAGATCGATGCTCATGATGTCAATCACTGGATTATTTGCAGACCGCCGCTATATAGCTAGGATGTTGAGAACCAACAAACAAACGTGCTGTATAATGAGAAACTTTAACTAACATAGTACAAGTCCAGCCATAAATCACGCGGTGCTTCCTTCTAGAGGGACCCTAGACACTCGTTTCTCCACTATCTGTCTGATATACTGGCATAGACAAACAGAGTAACAGTACTGAATCCCAGGACTGGGCATGTAACACCTTAGACACAAAACAGACATTAGTCTACATATGAATATAAAAAAATCAAGTGAAAAACAAAGATGAGGATCGTGATAGTTTTTCATATTGTTTTGTAGTGAGAGTGAGTGGGTTTAGTTTTACGCCGCATTTAGCAATATTCCAGCAATATCACGGCGGGGGACACCAGAAATGAGCGTCACACATTGTGCCCATGTGGGGAGTTGAACCCGGGTCCTAGGTGCGACGATCGAACGCATTAACCACTGGGTTATCCTTCAGTAACCCATGCTTGTCGTGAGACTTATTTTACACATGTCATCGTATCCCAATTGCGTAGATCGATGCTCATGCTGTTGATCACTGGATTGTCTCATCTGGACTCGATTATTTACAGACCGCCGCCATGAAGCTGGAATATTGCTGAGTGCGGCGTAAAACTAAACTTACTCACTTATTAATTCACGTGGCAAACGGACCACTGCAGCCGGAGACCCAGGTTTCCATGGTATCCGGCAGTGCCTCTATAGGTCTTCAGTGTCATCATCATTGCTAAGACAGGTCCTTCAAACAGCTGATCGTGACCCGTGATGTCGTGCTGTTCAATACTCCCCCAATTGTCCCAAGCTCAATGCTAGAATTCATCCCACCAATGATATTCTCTCAGAGTGTCTGTGTTATATGCAGTCACCATGGTTACGCCATCATCGTTTACCTCTGCATCAATAACCTACTGAGCTATATAATTATGTGCATTTCACTATACCAACGACGACAAACGGAGTGGTTGTCATGCACAGAACACTCAGTAATTTAGCGAGAGAGAAGAAGGGTGTGATCTCTGTACACATGTCATCACAGCGTTATCTGTGTGGCCTTCGGGAGGGAAAATTGTTTGCATTTATTTCTACATCAATTATTTCAACTCAAATGTTTGCGCTTCATGTCAAATAGCGATTTTCTGAGATCGTGTTAGATTTTAAATCTGATTGGCTGTAATTGAAGGATGGGTCGAGATTCACGCAGTTGGCATATTGTCATCCATTCTTCGTTTTCAGACATGACGATTTGTAATGATAAAGATATTTGTTTATTTATTTTTAAACTTGGCAATATTCTAGCTATATCACGACTGTCTGTAAATAATGGAGTCTGGACCAGACAATCCAGTGATTGATATAAGCATCATTTTACACATTCGGATACGACAGGGGCGGTGGGGTAGCCTAGTGGATAAAGCGATAGTTCGTCAAACCAAAGACCCGGGGTCCGATTCCCCACATGGGTACAATGTGTGAACCAATTTCTGGTGTCCCCTGCTAAAAAGCGGCGTAAAACAATACTCACTCACTCAGATGCGATGACGTGCATCAACCACGTCGACAAATCTGACCACCTAATCCAGTTAATCGCCTCATACGACAAACATAAGTTACATAAGATCAATCCTAACTGAGGTCGGCTATTGATGCAAACATGCTAATCGAATTCAGATTTGTGTACAAATACCTTTCACTCAATTTCAGGAAAAGCTACAACAAAGCAGTTGATAGAGGCATCGACTGAACCTGCGCAGCAGCGAACTGGGCGGAGGGACATGGCACGCGTGTAATTGATCGCGCGCAAGTGTCTGATATTGTGATTGTTATTTATTGTAAAGATGAATTGACCGAGTTAGTGTAATGAATGGTCATCTCACGTTATTGTTGTTGAGAGTATGGCGCATATGAGAACACCGTTTGTGTTATAGGAATACATGAACAGACTGTACTGAATAGTGAGACCACCAGCGGTATTGTAATCAATAGTCGGGAAGCTTTTATATTATTAATGCTACGTAAGACTTCCGTAAAGATAAGTCAGGATAACACCGCCATTGTGGATAGAAAAGTATGACTAGTGCTATTAAATATTAAGAATCGTGTTATTGTAACAAATTGTAAAACTAGCGGTGATTAATAGTCGGACCAGCGTTTACCGTTGTGGTTGGTTGGTTGGTTGTTTAACACCGCACTCAGCAATATTCCAGCTATATGGCGGCGATTTGTAAATAATCGAGTCTGGACCAGGCAATTGGGATGCGATGACATGTGTCAACCAAGTCAGCGAGCCTGACCACCCGATCCCGTTAGTCGCTTCCAACCACAAGCATGGGTTGCTGAAGATCAATTCTAACCCGGACCTTCCCTGGTAGACTAGTTCTGACGTAGTTGTTATTCCAATTAGGCCAGCGATATAATGAACAGTGGACTGGTATTATCTTATAGATCGTTGACTAGCACTACCGTTGTGACTAGTAGACTAGATATTTATCGTGATGAGTGAGTGAGTTTAGTTTACGCCGCAAAGATTTTAGCCACTGGGCTACCCCACCGCTCCTTTATCGCTGAGATCAGTACACTAGCACTTTCGCTGTGACTAGTACACTAGTTTTATCGTGAAGAATAGTACACTAACGCTATCGCTGTGACTAGTACACTAGCTTTATCGTGAAGAATAGTACACTAACGCTATCGCTGTGACTAGTACACTAGCTTTATCGTGAAGAATAGTACACTAACGCTATCGCTGTGACTAGTACACTAACTTTTTATCGTGAAGAATAGTACACTAACGCTATCGCTGTGACTAGTACACTAGTTTTATCGTGAAGAATAGTACACTAACGCTATCGCTGTGACTAGTACACTAACTTTATCGTGAAGAATAGTACACTAACGCTATCGCTGTGTGACTTTATCGTGAAGAATAGTACACTAACGCTATAAGTAGTACTAGCTATTTATCGTGAAGAATAGTACACTAACGCTATCGCTGTGACTAGTACACTAGTTTTATCGTGAAGAATAGTACACTAACGCTATCGCTGTGACTAGTACACTAACTTTATCGTGAAGAATAGTACACTAACGCTATCGCTGTGACTAGTACACTAGCTTTATCGTGAAGAATAGTACACTAACGCTATCGCTGTGACTAGTACACTAGCTTTATCGTGAAGAATAGTACACTAACGCTATCGCTGTACACTAACTTTATCGTGAAGAATAGTACACTAACGCTATCGCTGTGACTGGTACACTAACTTTATCGTGAAGAATAGTACACTAACGCTATCGCTGTGACTAGTACACTAACTTTATCGTG